AGCAGTAGTCTTCAGCGCTGGGCGCCATAGCTAGAGTAGTACTAGAGAGAGAAAGATTGGGGGGAGGCCAGGGATACTTACCTGCAGCGCCGTTGCTCCAGCTTCGTCTTCGAGGTACCTRCAGCACAGCGCCATCTTCACAGGTTAGTACCTGACACATGAGAGAGAGAGTTSTTCTTCTTCCTCTTCTCAACCCACCATCTCCTTCTCACCCTCCCGCTATCTGACTTCACTGCATCAGCAGACTACGAGAGAGAGAGAGAGAGCTTGGTRACATTTGGATCCAGACTCGACATTGGACTTCAGACATATCGAAGAGGGATAATTTGGGACTTGAAACGAGACTTGGTGTTGACGACTTGACTTTCCCATCTCCCCCTTCGTCTTCTTCGTCTGATCCCCTCCATTTCGTCTGTGTATGTCTGGACCTGGCGCCTCTTTCCTGTGTAAGCGCCAGGCATGATGTATGTTTGGACCTGGCGCCTCTTTCCTGTGTAAGCGCCGGCGGGGACCAGTCCAACCAGTCTGAGTCTAGGGCCTGTGCGGGCAATATCAGAGTCTGCAATGACGAAAGGGAGGAGGTACCGGTTGCTTGGGAAGGCTAAGCGGCTTGGAAGTCACCACCCAAGAAGCAAGCAGGCCGCTATATCTCCAGGCCGGGCGAAGAGCCCACCCTCATTGTCGGTGTGCAAGTTTGGCGACACACTGGTTGGGGCGCTGGCTGGAGCACCGCTAGCTTGGAGCAGCGCTGCAGGGGAAGAAGCAAGGACTCGGAGGAGGAAGAAGGACAGGAAGGCGGAGGAGAATTAGAGGTACTTACCTGGCTATGGTGGCAGCCATCTTCATCAGCTTGGTGGGCGCTGCAGCAGGAAGGCCCCAGCTGGGGTTGAGCTACACCAAGAAGCTTCGAGGCAGAGTCAGGCATGGTGGCCTGAGCTAGGGCAGCCATAGCTACTTTGGGTTGTCCTTCGGACATCTGGGCAAGGCCTAGTAGTCCGCCATAGCCTCGGCCTATGAGAGTGAAGAGTGGGAGAGGCGGCCATGGCTATGGTGGACCTCAAGTGATACCCGCAGTAGAAGAGGGATTCGAACTTTGATTCTGGTTCAGCTATCCAACATTGTATTATTATTTCTTGTGTGAATAAGAAAAGTGGAGATAAGGAGGAAGAGAGAGTTGAGCGAAGAAGAAGAGCTTTATCATTTGTCTATGCTGGTGTACATCATCTTCTTTTTCTTTCTTCATGCAATTGGACAACATTGTACTATCTGATGAATGTGTATCTCGAAATTGGCCACGATCATAACAAATGACTAGCCCAATCAATGTCGCAATGCAGACCAAACATACATCATCCTCATCACAAGGTGTGAAGGGGGCCTGGCGCTACACACAGGAAGAATGCGCCAGGTCCAGACCGTACATAGAAGAGGGAGGGGATCAGGCGAAGAAGAGGGGGATAATCCCTCGTCAAATTTCTGAAGCCCAATGTCGAGTCTGGATCCAAATGTCACCTATCCCTCTCTCTCATAGTCTGCTGATGCA